AAAATATACCCTATATACCATGTATTAACATTCGGTAAATTGCTATTATCACTATTAGGGGCCAGAAAGGCCACTGCGTCCTGAATAGATTTATTGTGCATTATTGGTAAATGAAAAACGCTAGCAGGATTTAGGTTTAATATTCGAAAATGTTTATATCTTTTATGTTTCAATTTTTAATTTATTGATTAGAACTTCGAAAATGTTCGAACACTATTTTGTGCATGTTATGTAGAGTATCACGGGCATGTCAGAACCAAAACTGTTGTTGCTTTCAATGGAAGGTCCATAGTTTTACGTGATTCCCTGCCGTGTAGGCTCAACATCACGGTGTTCTTCACACAGCTTTCAATGGAAATGAGATTGAGAGAAAAAAAGAAATGACAGTTTAAATTCGGAAATGAGAGCCGTAGTTATCTATGTCTCGTCATTCAATCAAAGCCGTAATTTATATAAGTATGTATTATATATTTCCTTTAACATTTAGGCACACCCAACAAGTAGAAAAGTAATAGTAAAAATACGAAATTGAAAAACGGATGTCATACTATGTATAAAATGCATTTGCGTTTAAGCACGAAAGAGCCAATTTCCATTTTACATAACACGGGCCTTATATTTTTTATATAAAACAAAAAAAAGAATTAAAATATTGGGCATATAAGCTATTCAAATAGGTCGAATATCTTCAAGCAACTTGAAGATCTATAAACAACTCAAAGATCTTCGAGTAACTACCACAGTTAGAGTTCGATCTAAATGTTTGAATTAGAGTTTATACGAATTTCTCGAACATGGTTACATCCAAACTTAGATCATAATAATCCGAACTTTGATTAACTCGTATAATATTTGAGACTCCAACTGTTAGAGATAACACCATCTGCTGTTATATCTGCTATTATAAGCATCTTAAGTGTTTAAAGCTATTTGTCACCGATGTTCCCTCTAATTGTGTGTTACAGACATTTTAGTCTTACATAACTAAATTAGTGAAAGTTTATGCAATTTGTCATGGTAGGTAGTGTAGGCATTAATATATTGCGTGCGACACTAGTTTTCGTCTACAATGGATTTTTCTAATACTAACAGTGAATTTCTACTTAAGGCACAATAGACTTGTAAACAAAAACAATATACATTACATACTAACATGTATGTATGTATATAATATATATTAGTTAAAATAAAGTTAATGTCTTGCACGCAACCCCGCTATCGTTAGGTGTAGGAAGACGATATAGTCAAGATATTAACGCGAACTTTAATTGAGATTCAATTTAGAATCGAGTAAGTTTTTCATTATTTGCTTAATAGATTTATTATTAATAATTCTTACTTTTTATATTTATTTGCAGAATGGACCCAAGTATTTATATTGTTAATAATGGTTATTCATTGACACAAAAAAAATTGAGTACTTGACCTCATGACGTGAACTTTTATGCAAACATTTTTCTTTTTTGCATATAAAAACATTTGAAGACTATGGACTATGGATATGTAAATTATTAAAATTATATGAAAATATATAAAAAATTATTTGAGCTTCAGAACATTGCTTTTATTGTAGCGCTTTGATTCGTTGTGCTGTAAAATCAGTCAGTCTTTGATATATGAGAACTCCGCTCTATAGTTTGTTTAATTAAATAAGTACCAACTGAGTCTATGGTTGTTATTACTTTAAGGCTTTAGGCTTTTACTTGCAGCAGCAGTTTTTAATATATATTGTTTTCATTAGAATTGCATAAACTTACGACTATTCCTCGACTTCTACTTAGTAGTATTTATATATTCTAAAATTATTTATAAAAAATTGTTCTTTTAAATATTAATAAAATTTAGGGACGGCTTGTATAAAATACTGAGAAAATTCTGCTGAAATCCTATACTGCATTTAGTCATTTTTAAAGTGCAGTAATTTCAATAAAATTTTCCATTATTCGAATTAAAAATTTGTTTTTTTTTATGTTACCAATTCTATTGTCGCTTATTATAGTTGTGTTTGCACACCATACCTTCTCTTCTTACTTATAAGAGTTAATTCCTCGATGGAAGTAGACCAACACTAGGCATTTCCATGGACCAATTCGAAACGCGTTTGTGAAGCTTTAAACTGCCTTCGTTTTCGTTCCTGCACATTGGCCTCAGTTAGAAATAGCACACCAGCTACCAAGGATAACACCGAGCCAACACATGCAAATACGAATGACCAACCAAACCAGTTGTTGGCATGTTCAGGCATCCAGCCATTGCGATTTCCAAAACAAGCAAACACTATCACAGCTATAGATGCACTAATACCAGTTCCAAGCTGTACGAATCCTAGCGATTTTATGAGCGTTATAAAATGTTTCTGGTCCGGTCCAGCACACAATATAAACACCAAAACAGCAATTCCAGATATTAACATACCAATAAACGCTATCGTATAGAAAAACTGTGTCACTATCATAAATGCAGGCATCAGAAATCCACGTATCTCATCATAGCCTGTCGTGAAAGGATCATAGACCCAACGGCACCCAACGAAGAACCTGCGTTGATTGTCATCGTTGACATCTGGCAGTGAACGAAAACAATGCACCCACAATCCAAGACGATCCAATTTAGCGCCAGTTATGCGATAGTCGCTCACAAGCCAACTAGGTGTGGCGAATGCTATGACTATTAACGCAAATGCCAGCACAAATACACCAACGCCGGAGTTACCCGATAAAGTACGCCTCTTCATGTTCACGGTTGCGGGAATATTTTCTTGGGAATCGTTTCGCGCGATATGGGACGCTTTTTGCATCCTTTTATATCAATTTGTTTTGATTTCGTTAATTTTAAGGGAGTGACACCTCGCGTTTGTGTGGCTGCTCACAACTTAACAAAACAATTCTCGCATTGAGAAAATGACAAATACGTCAGGGTTGCAAATTAACACATACATTTACTACTTTATTCCACAGTTTACGTCATTATTAACGTACATAAACTCGTTACGTACATAGCTAACTAATTTCTAGTGCCATTCGTATTGGTTCATAAGGCCGCGTGCGAATTCGAGTAAATTGAAATTTCCTAGGGATTTTTTGCACTACACTTATGTAAATATTTATTTATTTATGTACTGCGCTTATTACTTTTGGTTAAAAGTTTTTAAATTTATTTATTAAATATCTTATAAAATTTTCACAATGGTAATATCCAATTTACCTAATTTTTATCTAATTTATCCTGCTCGAAATTCTGGTAAATTCCAACATTTGCTGCCATACCGACATAATTTACTATGTCCCTCAATTTACCGTCAATATACTCGAACTCGGACACGGCCTAAGTATATTCTTTTCTTTGAAATTAAGTTAAAAGTATTGAAATCCAATTTAATTTAACAAAAGATATGAGAAAGTAAGTATTTAATAAAATCTTTGTTTTCATTAATTGCATATGTAATGGACATATAAAATATATATAAACGATTTAATATATCAATTATATATTTAATTCTTTCCTCCATTAAAGTTCATAATGTATGGTATTATAAGGTCTTCCACTTTATTATTTTATTTATTATTATTACTATTACTTCATTATTTATTAATTTATTTGCATACACATTATCGAAAAGAACTATAATCTATTATTGCTATTATTATGTGCTACTACTTGTCTCTTCTTTTAATATAATATATATGTATGTTGAATCCGCGATATAGTTACTGCTGTTTCACAATATATAATATTATAGTTACTGGTGCACTTTGCTGTATATATAATATCTAATAAGATAACACAATGCATTTTTAAAAAAAACACGTTTTGATTTTACTTCTTTATTTCTCAATTAACACAACAATAATCATACAATTACAAAAAAGTTCAATTAGGTGTTTCTTTTTACTTGTCAATTTTATATGCTACCAGCTGTTTGCGTTTTAACAACAGATGGCCATACGAGTGCAACAAATTATAAACGACACTCACAGCCACAGCAACACATGTTCCAGCGTCATCTAGTATGAAGAACAGTTTTATTTTGTATAGCAACCAATTAAATGTGAAAATAAGAAATAAGGTAATTGGAGACATCATTTTGTAAAACAACAAAACGCAATTATAGATAATTGATAAATGTGATGTATTGTAATATCTTAATTCATTCGTAGTAAATATTATATTGTGTGGCAAAATAGCCACACATGTAATATAATGTCACTCTACAACATTATTATAATATAATAAGATTTGTATAATAAGAATAATGAGTCTTTTATTTATAATTTCTTTAATTAAGCAGCTTACGTTGTGATACATCTAATAAGTGTTATATGAAAAAGTAGCAAACTTTTATTGAATTTGGTAGCACTTTTATTCTTACAATCCAGCGACTATCAAACTTTTGTTCTGTTTTCGTATAAATAAAGTTTTTATTAAAAATATTAAAAACATGTTATTTCAACAAATTCAGGCTAATTTTATAGAAATATGTTTTTTAAAATTAGCACAAGATCATGATGTCAAGAATAAAATTGCAGAATATTGGTGTCACCATTAAGTCATACAAAATATTTTTACTTTGTCGAGACAAATATAAGAGGCACACTTGTTATTAGGTAAGCATTGCCGTGGAGTAAAAAAAAATTCTAATCAAATAATTAAATCTGACATTAAAAATAATAATAATAGTAATTATGTTTCGCCAAATAAAAATACAAAAAGCAAATATCTGAGATATTCACACTAAATTTCTTCATAAATCAAATCTGCCTCATTAGTAGCCGCAATCGTTGAATTGATGGAACTACTGAAATGGGAAATGTTAAACTGGAAAATGTGTGACCACCACAGAGCGTTACTACGGTGATCGCTAAGCACAATTAATATTTAAATTTTTATGTGTTCTTAATTTAACGAATATTCAAAGAAAAAAGAAAATATTTTAAAGCAAATAATCTTATATAAAAACGTTCTTCTTGATAGAAGGTTTAAACGTAAGCTGCGTCAGTGGAAGACCCAATAGTTAAGTTGTCTGAACTTCCGTAATGGAAAATTGTCTAGGTGGGTACTGTGTGTCTACCACAAATAGTTACTACAGTGATCCCAAGCACAACCGAATGTAAAATTTACTTATTTTTGCGTCCGGATAGTCATAAAAAGACTGAAAACTTTTGGCAAAACTGTGCTGAAGAACTGAATGCTTCTGGAGGATCCAATAAAATTCCAGAGCAATGGAAAAAATGTGAGTTAAAAAGAATAAATTAAAGTTTTTGGTACAAGTGCTATTTGTTATTTTGATTTTATTTAATTTTACATACATGATCAACAAAATAAATAAAATACAACTAGCAATAAATAATACAAATATTTTTGCCAAGTTTTGCCGTTACCGTACCATATACGTTGTTATCGCGCCTAATATACATATGTATGCGGAAATATTCTATTTATAATTTTATATAATTTACAGATTTATTATAAATAGTTTTATTATTATTTTATTTTATTATTATTATAATATTTTATTATTATTATTTTATTTTATTATTATTATTTTATTAAATACAATTTATTTGAAATTTAAAATTATAAAATAACTTAACATTTCGATTACATATAGTGCTGGGCGAACTGGAAGCTGTCAGTAAAAAAAAAACAAGCATCTGCAATAAAGCGCTTTTCTGACAAAACACGCAATCAATTGAAAACTTTTGAGGGAATAGATAAAGAAGTGATAGCATTGATTTCAGAGCACGCAGTGGATGGGGTTTAAAATGTTCCTGAATCAGGCATTCCGGTAAATAAAGCACATGTTTTTTGTTTTACATATTAATAACAACACTTTCTGCTTTCTTCTACAGTAACATCAATCAGATTTTTTGACGCTGGAGTTTCTTGAGAGTGAAGAAATTTTAGATAACAACTTTGCTTCTTCAACGCCTTCTTTACCACTGGTATCCAAAAAGGCAAGGAATGACACCTACTTGTCAGAACTCGAAAGTGTTAAGCGCCTCATTATTGAGCAAAATTAAAAGCAGAACCAGACATTTCTAGAGATGCTTACAGTATTGAAAAGCATCAACAATAAGTTGGATGTGTCAATTGACAACACAAAAAAAGAATAAGTACAATATATATATATACTCACCAATATATTTCTCACAAC